TAACATTTTCTTCCTGCAGAGGTCCGAATCTCATATTTCTTCTATTATTCAGGTTTTTCACATCAGAGCCCCTAATTAATTCCCTCAGTGCCCCCCTTTACCATCACAGCCCCCCACACATCACAACTGCCTTTCACATTAGAGCCCTCCAACATTATAGCCCCGCTTTAAACCACAGCCCCCCTTCACATCACAGTCCCTCCTTGATCATTACAGTCTCCCTTGCAATCACAAACCCCCACATCACAGTTACCTCCCTGCTGACATCACAGACCCTTCATATCACAGCCCCCCCCTCTAACATCACAGTTCCCCATATCATAGCTCTCCTTCTCACATCACAGACCCCCCCAGTATTAGAGCTCCCCCCTCTCACATCACAACTCTCCCCCTATCACAGCCCCCCATTTCACAGCTCCCTCACTTCACAGCCCCCCATCATCACAGCTCGCCCCCCCTCTCACTTCAACAGCTCCCCATATAGCTCCACCCTCAAAGCCCCCCCATTTCACAGCCCCCTCTCACTTCACAGCCCCCAATATCACAGTTTCTCACCTTTCACTTCAGAGCCCCCCTTATCACAGCTTTCCCCTCTTACAGCCTCCCCACATCACAGCTCGCCTACATCACAGTTTAGCTCTGAGGAAAGGGATTTGTCCATGAAACGCAACAGCAAGCGGACCACACTGACAGTGGGAAACACCCTGCCCATTGTTGTGGCCATCTCTATTATCACACAAAGCTTTACACACATGCTATGTCTGTGTGCATGTTTTCGTCTATTTGACTTTTCAATAAACTTGGATAATGTATTAGGTGTTTGCGCTACCTGTTTGCTCTTTTTCCAGTTGTTGATTTCCCTGTCTGAGGAGGGCTGCATCCCCAAAGCGCTGTCCATAGGTCACCTTTTGCCCTGGTTCCCTGGCTTTCTTTGGCAATTAATTCTTGGAGCGCTGGAGAGTACACACTGTTACATCACAGCTCCCCCATATCACAGTTCCCCCTCTCACAGCCCCCCCATATCAGAGATCCCCCTCTGACATCACAACCCCCCTCCTCCCATATTATTCCCCCTACCTTAACTCAGCATTGTGGAGGGCGGAGGAATGGCAGGGTGGCAAGTTCTGCATGTACTCACAGGCATCGCCATCATTGCCACTGCTGTTGAAGTCACAGTAGGGAATAGGGCGGGAGGAATGGAAGGAAAGACTCCTTTTCTGAATGTATCAACTTGCGCTGCTGCTGAACTCAGACCAGGGAGGAGGGGCAGGAGGCACAGAAGATCTCCACTCTGCGCGTGAGCTGCCAAACTCTTCTTGTTAAAAGGGTAGTGACCCTCTTGTTAATAGGAAAGGTTGGCTCCCCTCCCCTGCTCCCCCTGTAGACCTGCAATGTCTTCCGCTGTCCTCCCTGCTCTGAGTTCAGTGGCGGCAGAAGCAGAAAGCTGGTACATTCAGAAGAGTTGTTCTTCCTTCCGTTCCTCCCACCCTCTTCCCTGCTGTGACTTCAACAGCAGCGGCGACTACAGCATTGGCAGGCAAGTGCACACAGAATAGGAGTCCATCCTGCCATTCCCTCCCAATTTCAAACAGCTGCAGCGGCGGGAGGAGAGGAGTCCACTCAGGTTGCTAAGTGGTGTGGCCCACGGTCCGGACAGGACTGTCACCCAGTCCGTATTCAGGCCGCAGTCCGCCATTTAGTCATGCCTGATGTAGAATATAAACGTCGAAATTCTGACTTGAATTGGAAGATATGAATAAAAAATAATACAGTATATTACATACATAAATATACATTATAAAAAACATCCATACATACATTTATACAATTTATTAAATACATAACATCTCCTTAAAGTGTTTACTAAACCCACAAAAGTAAAATCAGTCTGTATATGCAGTAAAGCATGCTTGTTATACTCAATGTTGGACCTAAGGGATTAATCTTCTACATTGTGTAATAAAGCCTTTGATCCTGTCTTCTCTGATCCTCTCTACAAGTCCCCAATCCATTTGTTGATAGTAACAGAGCCCTAGGAGAATGTTTTTTATTTTTTTGGGATGGGTGCATGTGAGCTGCACCATGGCCAAAATCTGCGCTTTCCAGACCGAGGGGGTCAGGGGTCATGCAGCTCATAGGACAGTCAGAGCAGAATGAAAACTCTTCTACAAGCTTTAACCAGTGCTCTGCTGGACACTGATAGTAAGTCACAAGACTGCACTATGTATTGTATACTACTATGAGAAAAGGTATTTAGCAGTGTATGTTTAAAAAATAAATATCATTTCCATGTTCTGTGTACTGTGGGAGACCAGATATAGTGAATGCAGGGTCCTGGGTTTAGAAACACTTTAAGATACAATGCAAGTATGGTTAATTTGGGGCAGAAAACAAAACTCCTATAGGACTTTAAATAGGCATGTGTGTGTATTGAAGAGATGAGGAGGGGTACTGTGTTAAGCCACCATATAAAGGTACAGTTGTTCTAAGGTCATTAGCAGATGTAAAAAGGAAAAGATATCACATTTTTTAGTGGACTCTTGTTTTCCAGATCTTTAGAAAGTTTAAAGACTGTTTCCCAAACACACAATCCATACAACCTTTAAGTGAAGCTTGGTGATGTATGGAGCAGTTTATAATTACGTATTTACCTATAACACTACATTTTGAAGCGTACAAGGAACCATTCTTTTTTAGTTCTTGCGTTGAAAGATCTTACAATCTTTTGACCCTTTCAATATCGATTATACAATTCTGAAGGGCATTATTTAGGAAAAAGCCAAAAAAAAACAATGGATCTGATGTTTCTGAAGTGCAGGGAGTCTTACTTACTCAATATCCATACAATGAGAAACAGGAACCAAGGGCCCCAGCTTTGTGAAGCAACAGTGCTAACCATTGAGCAACTAGTATTTTGTCTGTGCAGGCCTTGCTGTGCTAAAAAGTAATAAAATTAAGGAATAGTGAGAGATGAACCGAGCTGATCATTAATTTGACGATCTTCCCTTCTCCAACTCAATGCAAAGTCACTTTGAAATTAACCAACGTAACAGTATCGATGTTTCCATTTCTTTGTTGCGCTGGGAATTTTAATGAGATGGTGTTTGAATAATAACCCTGTCCCTCTTACATTTGCCATATACCTTGTGTGTTGACTTTTTTCTACATTAATCTGTGGATTAATGACTCTCTGACCCCTTGAGATCCCTTCCACATAATAAATTGACCAGCAGAAACCATATTAGCCATTTTTGTACCTACCATGAAAGAACAAATTAATTAACATCACTCAGAACCTGCTCGTAGGAGGATTAATGATGCAGCAGCTGTGGCTTCTGTGATACATTATGCTTTTATACGTCGAGGTTAGCATTCAGGAAAAATGTAGCGTGAAGAATGAAGAGGGCTGTGTTTAAATCCCCATGTTCACCTTATTCACCTTTTTTTATATCTTCAGCTTGTGTCATATTTTCTGTGCACTACTCTTCACTTGCTCTGTTTACATTTAATCACTTTCCATTCCTTTCATGCGGCTTTCTTTTTTCTTTGCCCTTTTTCAAAATTTCAAAATATGCTGAACAGGCAGCAAATGACTACATATAATACATTTACAGTGTTGACTATGTTTGGTGCATTATATGCTGGGATATGGCTGAGACAGATTTAATTAAGTTGGGTTTATGTCAGTCGAGGAAGGGGGGCCATGTCATTATTCTTTTCATCTTTATTGGCTAGCTATGCAGTGTAGTACTTTAGTGCATGCAATAGAGCATTGTCCTGCATACGTTTCATGGTCTTCTTGAAAGATGCAGACTTTTTTCCTGTACCACTGCTTTGAAGAAAGCGTGTCTTCTATAAAACTGGTAGTAGGTTTGGGAGTTGATTCTGAGTCCCATCTTCAGCCCAAAAAGGTACAACTAGCTGTGTCTTTAATAATACCAGTCTATTACCAGTACCCCACCGTGCTGGTGTCTGACACCTTGCTGGTGTCTGAGGTGACTAGGTGAGTGGAGCTCTGTAGCCCTTTACTTATGGCAGTCCACAGGCCCATCCATCTGGTCTGGCAATAGTCACTTTCAATCTCATCAGTTCATAAAATCTTAAACAATGAAAAATAATGGTGGTTAATACAGGGTTACTTATGGTTAACAAAAGGTTTTTATAGTTTGGGGAGATGAACAATGAAATAAAAACTTTCAAGTTTGCTGGGACTAACACCCCTTTCTAGATCAAGAGACGAAAAATTCTGTTCATTGTTTTCCAAATACAAGCTGGTTTATTTACCGCTCTTATGTCCCCTTATATATGTTGCATCAATTTTTTATATAACATATTTTTATTTTGATATTTAATTAAATTTTTATAGTTTTACTATATATATGATATATATATATAGTATATATAATTTACACACACACTATATTACCAAACGTATTTGGGCACCTGCCTTTACAAGCACATAAACTTAATGACGTCTTAGTCTGTAGAGTTCAATATTGAGTTTGCCCACCCTTTGCAGCTATAACAGCTTCAACTCTTCTGGGAAGGCTGTTTCACTAGGTTTAGGAGTGTGTCTATGGGAAGGTTTTGACCATTTTTTCAGAAATCTCATTTGTGAAGGTCAGGCACTGATGTCTCAGACGAGAAGGCCTGGCTCGCATTTCATCTGCTCTCAAATTCATCCCAAAGGAGTTCTATGCAGGTTGAGGTCAGGACTCTGTGCAGGTCAGTCAAGTTCTTCCACTCCACACAATCGCTCCATCTATGTCTTTATGGACCTTGCTATTTGAGTGCACTGCTGCGCAGTCATGTTGGAAAACAGGAAGGGTCCATCCCCAAACTGTTAAACAACAAAGTTCGGGAGCATGAAATTATCCAAAATGTTTTGGTATGCTGGATGCCTTCAAAGAGTTCCCATTCACTGGAACTAACGGGGCCAAGCCCAACCCCTGAAAAACAACCCCACACCTTTAATCCCCCCTCCACCAAAATAAAACTTTACAACTTGGCACAATGCAGTCAGGCAACTACACACTTCTCCTGGCAAAACCCGCCAATCCCAGACACTAACCCATCGATTGCCAGACAGAGAAGCGTGGAACTGTCATAACTCCAGAGAACTGAGTTCTCCCACTGCTCTAAATAAATCCAGTTGGGCGGCTTTGTGCTTTACACAATTCGCTACTCTGACACGCTTTAGCACTTGCACTTTGGTGATGTAAAGCGGCTTGGCTGCAAAGTCAGCTCCATTTCCTATGAAAACCCATTCCTTGAAAGCCCTCTAACGCAACGGTGTTCCGTAGGATGCGACTAATCTGACAGGGCAACAACGGCAGTTTGGAGGGTCTCTATTTAGCAGAGCTAATTCTAGCTTGCAGTACAGTTGGCGCGATGAACTTTTCCTGCACCCTGATCTAGTGAATTTCACCATTGCGCTGAAACCCGCTCTCTCTCATTTTATGGTGGCCTGCCACTTCGTGGCTGAAGTTGTGCTTGATCTGTATTCCCAGTTGCTTCCACTTTGTTATAATACCACTAACAGTTGACCGTGGAAATATTTAGTAGCAAGGAAATTTTACAGATGGACTTATTGCACAGGTGGCAACCTATCACGGTACCACGCTTGAATTCACTGAGCTCCTGAGAGCGACCCATTCTTTCACAAATGTTTGTAGAAGCAGTCTGCATGCTAGGTGCTTGATTTTATAC